AGGGGGAAAGACATCTGTCATAGCAACACTGACACAAGGGCATTCTATGCCCAGGGAGTCCTAAGTTAGAGGTCACTCTTCAACCCAACATCAGCAACTCCTCTTACACATACTTTCTTTCTCTTAACTGCAAACAGATGCTTAGATCTATCTTCAATTGCTTAATAAACTTGATGGCTATTTCAATATCTTGGTTAGCAAAGAAAACAACTGCTCTCCTGAATTAAAGCTTCAAGCTTATATCTCATGATTGTTCTAAGGCTTTATTTTTATTTTTAAATTATGTATAAATGTGTATGTTTGTGCACATTCATGCACATGTATGCAGTGTCCATGGGGGCCAGAAGGTATCAGAGCCCCTGGAGCTGGAGTTAGAAGTGCTTGTGATTCTCCTGATGTAGGTGCTGGCAACCAAGATCCTCTGCAAGAGTAGTATGTGCTCTTAACCACTGAGCCATCTCTCCAGCCCCATTTTGTAATTTTTAAAAAAACTTTAAAATTACACACACACACACACACCCTTTTTCTTTTTTTAAAAAAAAGACAAAGTCTCACTATATAGCTGTGGCTAGCCTCAAACTCGTTATGTAGACCAGACTGGCCTCAAACTCACAGAGATCTGCCTGCTTCTGCCTCCAGAGTGCTGAGACTAAAGGTGTATGCAACCATGCCTGGCTAATTTTATTTTTTTATTGTTTTGGTCTTTTATTTTTTGGTCTCTCTGTAGCCCCAGCTGGCCTGGAACTCACTATGTAGACCAGGCTGATCTCAACCTCACAGCGATCCACCTGTCTCTGCCTCCTAAGTGCTGGGATTAAAGGGGTGTGCTAACACCCACGGTTTAATTTTATATTTTTAAGATTATACTTTATGTGCTTGTGTGGCACAGTGATAATGGGTGAGATATAGAAGAAACATAAAGACGGTGGTTACTGTATTAAGAATACCTACTGTACAATTTGTCTGAGGTTTTCTGGAGTCAACTTAATCCTCCTTTACAAAAATTACTGTGCACATAATGTGCATAATGTGTATGTGTGTGTACTGTGTGCCACGGTACAAGTGTTGAGGTCAGAGGACTTTACAGAGTCACTTCTTTCCTTCCACCTTTATGTGGGTTGTAGGGACCAAACTCCGGTTGCTGGGCTTGCACGGCAAATGCCTTTACCTGCTGAACCATCTGACTACTTTTAATCCCTGAGGTAAATCAAACCCTTATGTTCTTACCAGGATCCTCAAGTTCTTACCAAGAGTACACTAGTCCTCAGGTGTGATTCCGGAGATCTGAAAAGAAACCGTCCACAGGTCTCCAGTAGAGTACATGCCATTTCAATATGATGATGAGAAAAGTCTGATAGAAGCATCTGGAATAATAAGAATGATGAAAAACTACAAAGACAACACATCAATCCTAACAGAGAAAGAAAACAATATTTACATCAACTGTGTGTAACAAATTACATCAAAGCTGAAAACAAAATCAAGTCTCAATACTTTAATAAGTTTTACCACTGGGCATCTTTGTGTTTCACCATCAAATTTTCATTGAAAAACTTCAATATATTTGACATCCCTTCTTTCAAAAAAAGAAACTGATGCCAAAGTCCTTTCTATAGTTATTATTAGATGCTGTCATATTTTATTTGGTGTAGGTATATGTGTGTGATGTATGCATGTGTGTGCATGTGTGTGGCTGAATTACCTTAAATGTAAATGAGCTCAACTCTTCTGTTAGCTATTAGTACAAGCACAGCCATTATGTACACTGAGCTGTGGCAGGCTTGTTTCCTTATGATCTTTCACTTTGACTCAAGAGTTCGTGTTTTGCACACCAGTACCTAATTATTCTGCCAAGTCAGGAGGAATGTGTTGATAATTTAGGGAAGATGGTTAAATGGTGGAATTCACAAGAAGTATTTGACCATTCCTTTACCCTCAGATAAAGGTGGGAAAAAACAGCTGTTGAAGCTAATTGAGCTAAGCAAACGGTGGCTAGCTGATGTTCTGCTGTATAAAAAGGCTGAGCTGAAATAAACTGGGGCTGAAGTCTCTACTGACAGTCCTCCTAAGGATCTTTCTCTGTCTCACCCTCACTCTCCCTTTCAGGTGCTGTACATCTTGGCCAGCTGGTACCAGCAAGTGGCACCTGGAACAGGGACCTGAAAAGTAGGGAAAAAGTGAAGGACACCGCTGGAGAAGTTGAGTGACTACACTCGGTACAACTGGGGAGCGGTGAGTATTTATCTTGGGAGAAGATGGGGAAGGAAACAGTCGCTCAGTTTTTGTAAGGAATATGCTTGGGGCCCGAGGAGCAAAGGCTGAGACTAAAGAGGAGAATCCGATAAGCCACGGCTGGGATAAAAGTGAAACCAAACCTTCCGCTCCACCAGAGCCAGCTCCATTAGCCTTGCCACCCTTTTATGAGGACCCCTGTCTGGGCCTGATCGGGAAAAGTGTCCACCTCTAATTGCCTTGTCTGAGAAGTCTATCACTGGGAAATTGAGCAATTAAGGGCAGAGCTAGAGGCTGTGAAGAAGGAAATGTTAAATAACAAAGAAAAGAACTGCAACCACCCCAACACCCTCTATTATGGTAGGATTAGAGCCTCCTCCTCCGAGGCCACCGAAGGTTGTTACACCTCCCATGATTGCCATGGTGCAGGAGCCTTTGGCAGAAATCTGGTACTCGCTTAGAACCGTGCAATCCCCCTACAACAGGCCATTGGGGCCATGGTAGAGCGAGGAGAGTCAGTGCATGGATTTCAGGTCTTCCCAGTTTCTGAGCAAGTTGATCAGCAGGGCAACAGGGTGTGGTCTCATGCACCTGTGCCTTTTAAGCAGCTTAAGGAACTAAGGACTGCTTGTGCTCAGTATGGTTCTATGGCCCCTTTTACCCAGGCTATGTCGGTACTTACTGATGGTTCTTCTAATGGACATGCAGCTTATGTGATTTATGGGCAAAGTTATTCTTTTCAAACTTCCCCTGCTTCAGCACAGGTAGTGGAACTTCTTGCTGTAGCTGCAGTGTTCCAGCTTCTGACATCAACTCCCTTCAATCTCTATACAGATAGTCATTATGTAGATCAAGCTCTACAGGAAATTGAAACAGTACCTTTTATTGAAACAAGGAATGTTCAAATTTGTTTACTGTTAAAACAAGTGCAAAATAGTATTAAATCTATAAAATATCCTTGCTATATAGGATGGAGCCTGTCAAGCTGCTATTAGGCCTTTTAGGAAGAAAGGTGATTTATCAGACTATATAAGATTATGTTCTGATATTGGGCCATCTTACATCCAAGGCGTAGCCATGGCTGCGGCATTACAGGGAAAGCCTATTCAGGAGATACTTTAAAAAATGAAAGGGTCAAAAGGACAGGTGGCTGGACCTGGGGGGAGCTGCTTCAGATGTGGCCAGTTGGGACATCGAGTAAAACAGTGCCCTGATAAGCAGAGAGAAGGTCAAAGAAAGAGCCAGGCTTGTGTCCCTGTTGTAAAAAAGGGAAGCATTGGGCTAATGAATGCAAATCAAAACAGGATGTTATGGGGAACTTGCTTCCACAGGGAAAGAGGAAGCAGGGCCAGCCCCAGGCCCTGAAACAATGTTATGGGGCACTTCAGACACTAGTCCCCCAGCAGGGAAGTCCATTCAAGACCTCTTCAGGGCCATCCCGGGAAGCACAGGACTGGACCTCAGTGCCTCCACCTACACAGTATTAACCCCTGACATGGGAATGCAAGCCATACCTACAGGAGTGTATGGGCTGTTGCCAAAAGGAACAGTGGGATTGGTATTAGGAAGAAGTAGTGTTACCATGAAGGGAATTCTGGTAGCTCCTGGAGTGAGAGATTCAGACTATCAAGGTGAAATCAAGATTATGACTCATTCCCCCTTAGGAATTGCTGTAACACAGTCAGGACAACGATTGGCACAATTGCTCCTGCTCCCTCTGGTTCACAGTAGCAACAATAGTAAAAATCAGCATAGAGGGGCAGGTGGTTTTGGTTCCTCTGATGTTTATTGGCTACAAGCTATTGATCAACAATGACCTGAGTTGGAGCTAATTATTAATGGGGAAAGATTTAAAGGACTTTTGGACACTGGGGTGGATGTATCTGTAATTTCAGAAGGACAATGGCCCTCAATCTGGCCAAAGCATACCTCCATGACAAATTTGCAGGGCATAGGGCAAAGTCAGAGTCCATATCAAAGTAGTGATGAGCCACACTGGAAGGACCTGGAGGGACATGAAGGTTCTTTTACTCCCTACATTGTGAAGGGGCTGTCCGTCAATCTTTGGGGGAGGGATGTGATGAGTAGGATGGGAGTCTATTTGTATAGTCCCAATGAACAGGTTTCACAGCAAATGTTTAATCAAGGAATGCTTCCACAAGCCGGACTAGGAAGAAATGGGCAGGGAATTCAGGCACCATTACAAATGTGTCAAAAATTGGATATGAAAGGGCTAGGATATTTTTAACAGAGGCCATTCAACAACCTGCACCTCATGCTGATGCTATAACATGGAAACCTGAAAAGCCAGTATGGGTGGATCAATGGCCTCTTACCCAGGAATAAATAAAAGCCGCTGAGCAGTTAGTGCAGGAACAGCTTGATAGCGGACATATTGAACTTTCTAATTCACCCTGGAATTCTCCTATTTTTGTGATTAGGAAAAGGTCAGGCAAATGGAGATTGTTACAAGATTTGAGAGAAGTCAATAAAACAATGGAACTGATGGGCGCATTACAGCCTGGTTTGCCTATTCCTTCTGCTATTCCACAGGACATCTTTAAAATTATCTTGGACTTAGATTGTTTTTACACTATTCCCTTGGCTCCTCAAGATTGCAAGAGATTTGCATTCAGTGTGCCTTCCATAAATTTTAAGTTTTACCTCATGGAATGGCCCCGACCCTGTATTAATATGGGGACGAGGGCATGTTTGTGTTTTTCCGCAGGACGTGGATGGAGCCAGAAAGGCTGGTGAGGTTTGCTGGACGAGTGCCAGAAAGAGAAGTGGAAAATAATAATGAGGTGGCAACCATGGCTGATAATGATGTTCCCGCAAGTGATCTTGGCTGAGTTATATTGGACTTAATGTTCCTGATCCACCAATGTTGCACCCCGCAATATGGGAAGAAAAAGAGATAGTAGTGGCTGTGAAGGACTCTCGGTTAGTTGCTCAGTCCACTTCAAAACACCTGATGATGCAAGCCATGACGAATTTTAGTTATTTGGGATCGGGAAGCGGGTTGCCTATTTGTTTTGTTAAAAATGATAAGTCCAGGTGTGTACAAGTAGATGACCATGTGCTTGTGGGACGAGGTGGATACTGTACCAATGTCAAAGTGTTATTGCCAAGAGATAACAGTAATGGGAAAAATTTCTCTGCATTTCTACCCTGTAAGCAGCGGCAGCTATTCTAAAAAGGCTGAGAGCCACTTTACCATCGTGGTCCTCTATCACTTCCATTGTGAGTGGTTTAACAGGACTTGGCATGCTTTTCCTCCTATGTCTTTGTTTTCTTCCAGTGGCAGTAAAGTTATTTATGAAATCCTGTGGCAAGTCAAGTCTGCTGTGCATGATATGAGATTGTGCTCCCCCCCCTAATGGAGGCCGGTAGTCAAAGACGGGTAAGATCTTCTGGGAGAAAGTCAATCTAAGACAGGGCGTAACTGATGGAAGCTGCGAGCCAATGACAGGTAAGGCTTTGCTCTAGCAGAAGACAACCTAAGACAGGCACGGTCCTTCTGTCCTGGATATAGCATAATCTGGGGTTATAAAAAATAAAAAAGGGGGAGATGCTGGGAGCTATGAGTATAAGCACAGCCAATATCTACACTGAGCTGTGGCAGGCTTGCTTGTTTATGATCTTTCACTTTGACTCAAGAGTTTGTGTTTTGCACATCAGTACCTAATTATTCTGCCAAGTCAGGAGGAATGTGTTGATAATTTAGGGAAGACGGTTAAATGGTGGAATTCACAAGAAGTATTTGACCATTCCTTTACCCTCAGATAAAGGTGGGAAAAAACAGCTGTTGAAGCTAATTGAGCTAAGCAAACGGTGGCTAGCTGATGTTCTGCTGTATAAAAAGGCTGAGCTGAAATAAACTGGGGCTGAAGTCTCTACTGACAGTCCTCCCAAGGATCTTTCTCTGTCTCTTGTTTTTTTCTTTCAGTCCTCACTCTCCCTTTCAGGTGCTGTTTGTCTTGGCCGGCTGGCACCGGCACTCATCAATAGAAAGATACAGACTAGCTGACTGTCTTTAGAAACACAAAGGAAGAGGCAGGTGAACTCTGTGAGTTCGAGGCCAGCCTGGTCTACATAGCAAGTTCCAGGCCAGCTAGGATTACATAGAGAC